CCCCCCCCCCTTCGCCCGTCAAAGATAACTACTTCCTGTGAATCACAGGTCTCTGCCGACGCGAACGGCCTTCTCTCCTTGGTCCATCATCTCTACTCGCTTGGCCGCAACAAGATCAACACTTTTTCGGCGGATGCATGCCGACTCGGTTCCTCGTGTATCTCGCCGTTGGTACGAGTCAGTCGTTCTGTTGACATACTGCCGTGTGGCTGCCCTCTCCATCTTGCCACGGTCCCCCTTTCTCCACACGAGATTTGTATGTGTGAATAGGGAACCGAAAGCAGGGTAGGCCGACATTATCTTCAATCCGGGCACTATTCTTGCTCGATAACCACGGTAAAACAATACCATCGTGATCCGTGTCCTGTACGGGGCGAGATTTATCGACATTTCTTCCATCCACAGGCACTAAAATTTTCGAGCTTGAACAACGGCAAGCACCATCATGATCATGCTATCCATGCAGCGGGCTTCCTCTCCGCCCTGCCGAGCCGCCTTGCAGTGGCTAAGCGACAGCACCCCCCCCCTATGCTCGCCTCTGCTTCCGCCGATCGGCGGTCTAGAACATTTCGGCCCGTGCAACACACGCCATGCTAACCGAGGGCGAACCGACCATATCGCCGACGCAGCAAGGGAACCATACCTTTACCACTGCCGCTAGATACTACTACACACGAAGAATATTGTTGCTCGTCCTCACGGGCGTTGATACCACCTACTCGGCGCTGACTCTACCCCCTCCCGTTATCGTGGTGGGGCCCCTTCGCGACCCGCTCGCACCCATATATTGCCCGATATGCCCGTGGAAGAAGGACCATACGGTGGTACAATACCATGCTACCATACCATGGTACTTGATAACACCGAAAAAGCACCGACCGCCACCGAAACCGTACACGCCCGTCGCCGTCCGTAAAACACACATGATGAAACGAATCGAGATAAGAAAAAACAAAGTTTCATCTGTACGGGTCGTGGTTGAGCCGCTGCCCGGTGACAGTGTTTCTCCACCACTTATCCCCGTCCCTGTTGTAGTAGTGAACCCAATGACGCCCCCCCAGGTCCCCACCGCCCCCCCCCGGTTCCTTCACGTCGAGCATGTCGGCCTCCGGGGGCAGCATCGCCGGGAAGCTGCTGGGGGAGCGGGCGACGGCCGCGGCGATGCCGGCGGCGGCGGTGGCGGCCGCGGCGGAATCCGCGACGACCTCCTCTCCGACGTCGTCGCCGCCATCATCGTTGGTGTCGTCTCCGTGTCCGCCGCCGTCTCCGTCGCCGTCCTCCTTCTTGTCGCCGCCCCCGTCGGTGTCGTCGTCGACGACCGTGGGCGGGGGGGTTGCGGCAGCGGTGGCGGGCTCCGTCTCCCCTTCCCCGGAATCGTTCTCCTTTTTCTGCTCTTCCTCCTCCTCCTCCTCCTCCTCCTCCTTCTTCCCCTTCTTAGACTTCTTGCCGCCCTTCTTGTCGACGCCGCCCGGCTTCATGCTTGGGGGCACCATTCCCCCGAAAAATCCGGACAGCCCTCCTGTTTCTCCAGCGCTGGCGCCCCCGGCCGCGGCCGCCCCGCCGGCCGCCGCCGCCGCTCCCGCGGACCCGCCCATCCACCCCGGTAGCATCGTCGTCGGGTCGAACGGCACCGGGACAGAGCCGCGGGCCTTGTGGCTCTTGGCGTACGGCATGAACCCGTCGGGGGGTCCGGGACCGAGCAACACCCCGGCTTCGGGCCCGTTGGGGTCGATGACGCCGTACTGCGGCTGCGGGAACTCCTGCTGTTCCTGGTACGCCGGCGCCATCATCAACCCGGGCTGTGGTGGTTGCATCTGCTGCATCTGCTGCATCTGCTGCACCTGCTGCATGTACAGCATCTGCTGCTGCTGGTGCGCCGCGACCGCGTCGTACGGACCCGCAGCGGGCATCATAATCGCGGGGGCCATGACCACGGTTCCGGGGTCCGCGCCGTAGAAGTAGGGCCCCGCCAGTTGCTGTGGAACGGCGGTCGGCACCATCACCGCCGCCGGTGCAGGTGCCGTTGGCCAGGCGTACATTCCGGCAGGCACTGTAGCGGCGGCGGTGGCAACGGCGGGGTAGCCGTAGGGCATCATCTGCGGTTGGCCACCGCCGCCACCGCCGTTGCCGTTGGAGAGGTCGTAGGTCCACTCGTTGGTAGCGGTGTTGTGCCTGGTGAAGGAAGTATCGTCGAGAAAAGAAAGGGGTTCTTGTGTCAACGCTTACGGAAGGCTAGTCTACACTGCTGCTGCTGCTGCTGCTGCTGGATCCAGGCACACCCGCGTAGCGGCATGGTGGAAAGGCGGGCGCCTGGAAACAATTAGCGTGCGTGGCCACTGGATTGCCCTCTGCCCTTCCACCCATCTTGCCGCTCCGGGCGAGCACACGGTAAACAGACAAGAGATCGAACATCGAGCCGCGGTGGATGCGACTCACGACGTCCGTCATCCTACCACCGCTGTTGTTGTGACGCGTCGGAAGACGAATTTGGAGAGCTCGTAAGCACAAGCATCGTTTCACACAGCAGCAGAGACGCAAGAAGGCGTACAACAGAAGGAGAACAGAACGATACCGACACCTCGAGAAAAACAAACGAACAGGACAGGCAGAAGTTAAGTCGGCCCCTGACGCATCATCATCGCCACCACCATCACCACCACCACCCATCATCAACATCATCATCTCACCAGCAAGGACGGCCTTCGCGATCCCGGTAAGCCATCCACGACCCGCCCTGCACAGCAGCAGTCATCATCGGATGCGCCTGCATCTCGTCTACCGCTTTTCTTCTTGTCGTGTAGCGAGAAAGAACACCTCGGGTAGCTTTTATACACCGGTCTTGGGTGGGACTGCGGGGCGAGCGGCCACGAAACGCACGAAGAGGCGGAGATGTGAGACGAGAAGGAGACGGCAGGGGGGGGGAGGGGCGTGTGGACTATCGAGACGAACAGCACGCGGCGGGCTGCGGCATGATGATAACAAACGTGTCGTCCGTTTCGAGTTTATCTCGTCGATTGGACCCCTTTCCTTCGGTGAATGAATGAATATCTCCGCACCTTGTGGCCTGTATATGTGTCTGCGAGGGCTACATATATACTGCAGCAGCGAAGCTCGCCTCGCGATCATGTGTCATCGCGATACCGTAGGTTGCTTATGCTACCACACGCCCTATTCCCTCTGCGGCACAACGGGTGGCCGTGCCAAAAAAACTGGTAAGCGGCGTTGGAACCGTCTGCCTCTTTCGAGATCTTGACCGAACACCTATCGTTTGATACTGTGTTGACATCCTCTTCGTCGAGGATCAACCGAGGTTGAAAATCGGTTCAAGGGTTGACTCCCGCAACCTGCTGCAGTCGCCCGCAACAAGACTGCGGTGCGTCTGGCCGTCTCCTTTCAGGACAACTCAGTACACTTATGCACACTATTGGGAGCCTTGCACCGGACACCAATGCTGTAGAAATATCTGTCTATTACGGCATTCGCTGCGGCTGTAGTCTAGTAGTCTATTCATGTGCTCACCCATGAACACAACCCCTTCCAGCCTCTTTTTTTATCGTACACATACGATTTAACACAAGCAATCCATCTCTGCCCCACAGACAAAATAGTCTGGGAATAAGTTGGCAACAAATCCATTGCCGAGGCTTTTAACGCATTCCTTGCTACATCCCCCTTGCTCGTAGAGTGTGTGACTCATCGATGATCTCCGCCCATGGTGAGGAATATAACTGGTACTATTTTTTGTACGGACCTGCTTGTCAATCGGTGTGCTCGTACCTTACGGCATGCCCGCGCTGCCTTCGTTTAGGGCGGCACAGCCGCAGCAGCAGTGTGGTTCAATGCTAGGGCTGCTGCGGTCGGAAAAACATCGATTTATGTGCGCTCAGGAAGGAGATTCGCAGTACACCTGATTTGGGGGCTGACGCATGTTTCGAAGTGAGCCGGCCGGACAACCGGTTGTATGCATAGACTATTCCTAGTTTCTCTTTTCTAGAAAGACTGCGGCATTACACCAGTACAGCAGCAGCCCGTTCCATAAATAGCACCCATTATCGACAGCAGGGATTCGTGTGGAAGTCTTTCCAGCAGTGAGCGGGAGACAAAAAACACCGGCTCGGCTGGATATATGGCTCCTGCTGGGCGTTGGTCTGTTTTATACTTCGTCGTTGTTGACGGAGAGCAACGTGTGGCCTTGATCACCAACACAGGTTTTGTGCTTGCGGTCCGCTACCGAGCGCTCCTTCTTCGTTCTGCGTAACGCCCCGCTGGCAACTTTTTCTCGGCCAGTCGTAGACATCAGGTGCATCAAGGGGGGGAGCAAGCTAAGGTGCGCGCGAACATCTCTTGCTCACATACCCGTCGAATAAACAGGCACAGCAGACCGTGTTGTATGACGACAACGAGTACCCCAAATAACTGGTAAACCGGCAACATGCAGCCATTTCGCTCTTCCTCACCTGCTTTCTCCCCTGTTCGCTGTTTGACGCCTGCTGCTGCAAATCAGGAGGCGTGTCCTGCCTCCCCCCGCAGTTGAACCCGGCTCAAAACTTCCTCCGTGAACTAGGACCGTTCAGCTTTCTATACAGCAGTAGCGTTCCAAGTTTGCAGCTGCAGTGCAGTTACACGGACGATGACAGCCGGAACTTGCTCAGCTTGATCGGGGAACGAGGGACAGCATGCAGCCCGTGAGGCCTCTCTCTCTCTCTTTCTCCCTCCTTGTCGCGAAACGTTTTCTTTGTTTAGTGCCGACTGCTGTGCGTGTGCCCTCCTATTAAGGGGCAACGCGTGCACTTCTCGCAGAGCGCGAATACACCACACGAGGATAACCAGTTGTAGTCCCGCCTTAAATACAGGCCAGTGCGTGTGTGCGCCAATGCAGAGCGGAGAGTCTGCTGAAATGGTTGACAGCTGCAAGGGGGCGGTGGCTTTTCTTTCTGCGGGTCCCACGTGAACGACCACAAACTGCTGTGATTGGTCTAATTTTCACAGTTTTTGTCCAAGCTGGCTTTTGCCCCCGCGTTCGCAGGGACTGGCGTTCGAGATAGCACTATTGTAGACAGCAGCTCGTACACAGCAGTACACAACCGGATGTGGGGGAGTGGGTCCCAGTCGCCACTGGGCTTCAGCCAGAGCCAGGGAGGAGGAGGCCTGTATGGCGGGGCCTACTCCCAGGCTTCCGGATTCGGGAGCCAGAGCCAGCAGACGCAACCGTTTGACCTCAGCCAGAGCGTCTTCGGCGCGAGCCAAAGCCAGAGCCAGGTCGGCAGCCAGCCCGCTGCACCCGAGTGCACGGAGTGCCATTCGACCGAGATGCTCACCACGGATGACGGGGACATGGTGAGCTGCTGGTCCACCTTGTCGCTCTGTTTTTTTCCCTGCACGTGTGTTTGCGTTTGTTGGTATGCCGCTGTATGCACGGCATAAGCAAGGGTCCCTTGAGGCAGTGTCACCAGCGGCATCGGTGGAAGGTGGCTGTTCAAGATCCCTCCCTGCACCAGCATCCCGCACGTTTCCTGCTACTTCTAGGAGCACCGGTCGCGATGCAATGATTGATGACGACGTTGTCTAACCCCCCCCCCTCCCCATGACTCCCTCTTTCGCTCTGTTCCTGTGTGGGGCGGCAAGTATTTTACCAGTAATTGTTTCCTCTCTGAAGCTGCCTCACTCTGTCGTCATGCACCAGCACGGCTCCCATCAAGCATCAAAGATCACAATGCTTGGTGGCTGGTCCCTACCATAAGACCACTCACACCCCGCCCTACACTGCGGGATGCGCCGGGGGCTCCTACGGCACAAGGAAGTCCGTTCCGGCTGCCATGCGTGCATGTTCGCCGCATGTATGCGCCCTCCAGCCGCTGTATATCTCCATGCCCAGACAGAGAACATGTGGCCGCCGTCCCTACTGCAGATATATGTGCGCAATATATTTCGCCTCACACACGGGGGCACAGAAAAACAAAAATCTGGAAAGGACACCTCAAAAATATCCTTCAACCGCGTTTATCTTTTTTTTGCCTCTCCCCGCCCAAAGTAGCATCCCCATCCCGGTGTTTGCCATCGGGGTTGGGTTTTCGTCGCTTGGCAACGACGTTGTAAAACAAGCCATTTCACCTCGTGAATTCGGCAACCAGGTTACCGGTTGTTTTTTTCACCTCTGTTTTTTTTGGGGGGGAGGGGGTAACCATAATGGTGGTCGAGTAGATCATGTCGTGCGGGGTCGAGAAC